ACCCCCCCCAAACCTAAACCTAAACCTAAACCTAAACCTAAACCTAAACCTAAACCTAACCCTAAACCTAAACCTAAACCTAAACCTAAACCTAACTTATTTAGTGACATAATAAACTTAATAAATAATAATAAATAAATAAATAATAAATAATAATAAAACTAGTCAACAAAACTGATTGATGCAACAAAATAAACTTTTATTACTACATTTTACTGTCTGTAATCAATATCTTTATTCCATTTGATGCCACAAAATAAACTTTTACTAGCATTCAAAAGCTTCAATACAAAATAATACAAAAGAATACAAAAAGCTTCATTTTACATTTTACTATTTGCGGTTAAAATAATTCAAAAGCTTCACTTCCTTCACGCTTTCATCGTCGCGCTGATATCGACGCGGTTTTGTCGGTGCTTATTTGTCGCCGCTATTTTGACGAGCGCAGTTTTGTCGGGCCACACTTTCCAAACAGGTATGAGGCATAGTTAGCATCTTTGTTTCCAAAACTATGTACTGCTTACACAGTCCTGAACTAGGATTATAATAGTCATGCATGTTTTCATGCCAGTTGGAGGAAGAGATTAGTTTTCTTAAAATTATTGTTTTTAGGATTCGGTGTATACAGAAAGTATGGATATCTTGTTGGCTTGCTATCAAAACTGCAATAAAGTGTTTGTATGTACAAGCTTGGTGTTTTTTTTAAAATCAATTTCTCTCATAATTTCCAGATATAGATGAGTGCAGTGAACTGGGGACCGGTGCCTGTGGAGATCATGCAGAATGTGACAATATGGATGGAGGATACAGCTGCACCTGTAACGAAGGTTATCAACCATCCACAGGAAAATTACAGTTTAAGGCAAATGATGGCACTTCCTGCCAAGGTAAATGATATTATGGTTTATCTGTTATTATAGAAGTATGTCTTCTGAGAGGCCCACCAATGTCTGTTCTGCCTCGCTCAGATTAATCAGATGGATATGAGAATGTAGCAATGCATGAATGCTCAGATTTATAGTACAAAGTTATATATATGAAAGTTAAGTGGATCTCAACACAACTGGCTTCACCTGCAAGAGATCAGATTCCTGCAGTGATTTACATGTGGGTAATCATGCAATTATGCAAATAACACAAATGGCCTCTTTTGCACGATGGTGTCATCCAGCAAAGGCTGTAAATTGGTGCACGTCATGCAACAAAGTGATTTATTTACACAAATGATGGGAACCACTGCAGGGATGCACTTTCAGATGTAATGCATATTCTTGAATAAAGCCAATACACACACACACACTCTCCAAGTCAATCTGCTAAAACATGAATTCCCTGTCATTATAAAAGAGAAATATGCTTTTCTTCTATATTGTTCCACTGTAGTGTTAAATAGACAAATTACACTGAATAATTTTCAGTAGCCGACTTTTGGCAATTAAGGCTTATATATTTGTCTTTGAGGAGCACTTTACATATTGGCCTTTGTGAAAGCATGAAGTCACTGAGGCTTTCTTTCATTGACTGGAAATTGACTATGTATAATTATCATGTTATGGCATATTAATTACACTATTTTTTCATTCCTGCAGCAATACAAACAACAACCTGTGAACTGAACAACTGTATAACTAAAAACATTAACCAAACTTTAGCTAAAGTAAGTAAGATTTATGTAGGTATATATTTGCTGTCAAGAGTTTTCTAGATTGGTATAAATGCTTAGACTAGAGCAGTGGTGGTGAACCTTTTTCTTATGGCGTGCCAAAATTGTGTGTATACGAGCTATTGCGCGCGCACGTGCCCACATCAATTCAATACTCCCCGGCCACCTGCGCATATACGCAAAACATACACACATACATGTGCATGTGTGCACAACCCCTCCCCAGGCTTCAGGGGCTTTCATGAAGCCTGGGGAGGGCGAAAACAGCTTCCCCTGGGCCCCGGAGGCACTCTGGAAGCCGGAAACAGATTGTTTCTGAACTTCTGGTTGGCCCATTGGGGCTGTTTTTCACCCTCCCCAGCTACAGAGGCTTTCCTGAAGCCTAGAGAGGGCAAAAATGGCCTCCCCTGTCCCTCTGGAAGACTGCAAATTAGCTGGCCTGCCAGCAAATATGGCTCCGTATGCCAGCTTAGGCACTCATGCCATAGTTTCACCATCACTCTAGTCTAGAACTCGACTAGAATATTAGATTGAGGCTGGGAAGATCTAGATTCAAATCCTCAGTCCGTCATTAAATTAACATTAACATTGAGTTTATTGGTATTAGTCTATATCATTCCATATAGGATTGTGATTAAGAGAACATGGTACAATTCAAAAGTTCTTGAAGAAAAATAGGGAATAAATGTAATGAATAAGTAATAGCTGTCGCAAACCTACAGTATTCATTTATTGCAATCCTTTCATATCCACTTATGATAATATACCAGATCCAGTGGCTTGTAACCCGCGATTAATTTAATTTAAGACATTTTATAGGCATCTGATTCATTGACCTAACTTTTGTAGTTAAAGTGACAGAGCACAGAACTGCAGAATGAAAATATCCTGCAGTGTGTGGCAAGAAGAAACTCAAGAGGGTTGATTATATGATTATAAGATTTTTGAAGTTGGATTCATTGTCATTTCCTTTAGTTACTTTACTTTTAGAAAAGCTTCAAGGACTATGTAGTGCCATACCCAGAATAAAAATAAAATGGACTTCCTTCATACAAAGCTAGTATTCATTTCTTCTGGAAGCTAGAGAACCTTTACAAAACTTAATTGCAACTTTCTTTCCCATATAAAAGTTTGATAAATTGCCAGTGCACTTGTATTTGCAGTTTATTTATGTTGTCTCCTGGTATCAGGCTATAATTCAAGCAAGATTAGATATTTTACAAACCTCCAATCTATCTTTTAACATTAATGATATTTCCCACACTAAATTTTCCTCACAACTCTGCCATTTCACAACAAGAGAAACAGAACTAATATATATTTAGTTATCTTTCTTGTTTAAGCATATGAATTATTTCAGTGGTAGTCCAGCCACATATAACATAAATACCCTGAAATTGGTACACAGAATTGATTATTAAAATTAAATTTATCCTGGAGCAAATATTGATCCCAGGGTAAGAATTGCTGGGTAGAAATAATCTTTATATATCGAGCAAAACATTCTTAGTGCAACGTTGTGAGATCACCTTACTTAGAGATATTTATTACTATCCAGAAATTCATGGCAAGGTTACATTTGAATCTGGACTTTCTCTGTGTAGACAACCTATATTTTATCCACCACATAATTCTCTCTCTTTTAAGCTCAGCAAAAAAAATGAACCAAAAAATGGTAGTAGCAACTTTTTAACTATCAATTGAGCACCAATTATAACTCTTCATTTAAAAGGAAGTATTGGACGACATGCATGATGGTTTAAAACTTTCTTTCAGATTAGTGAATTAAAAGATCCTCTGGCTGTATTACAAGAAATCAACAAAAACAGCATAGGACCCGTTACACCAGCTGAAGTAATTTCTTACGTTGAAATGTTATCTGTATCCTTTTCCTTGCTGAGTACCACAAATTACACCATTTCTGATGAGAGGCTTCGAGATCAAACTCTTAATGTGAGTGAACTCAAGAGTTAAAGTTTTGGTTACTTACAAGCTTATCTTACTTGGGATACAGCATACAAAGTTAACATAGTCTTTTTATTAACCCAACAGGAATTTGTTAGTACTGTAAATAATTTTGTTCAGGAGGATAAGAAGACAGCTTGGGAAGCTATCCCAGCAGACAATAGAAGAAGAAGCCTCACCAAATTGATGCATGCTGCCGAGGAAACAACAGCCTTCCTATCTCAGAATTTCCCAAAGATGGCAGAAGTAGATGTTAATGCTAGTGATTTGGGTACGCACAGGGAAACAAAACATATTGAAGATGTGTTGTTCTTCTTCTTGCTTGCTTTCTTCTTTTGCATCCTTGCAGACAAATTGTTGACATTAGAAGCAGAATTGTAAGTTTGTTCTCGACTGTTTGAAATCCAACGGATGTGAGCTATTTATTCTTGGTATTTAGAACTGAATAGAAGGCTAGGTAACCTCTTGGTATTGCACATCTAACCCTGCCATTGATTTTCAGGCATGTATTAGGGAGAAGCTTAGCTAAACTTTTCACCAGAGGTGGATAGGCTGCACTCCTTTTCTGACCGGGTTACTAGTCCTGTTTCTCAAGATAGACTGCCTCTGACTTGCCGGGTGCATGAAAATCCTTAACCTCTTTCAATGAGAAATATCTTATAGCAATAGCAATAGCAGTTAGACTTATATACCGCTTCATAGGGCTTTCAGCCCTCTCTAAGCGGTTTACAGAGTCAGCATATCACCCCCACAGTCTGGGTCCTCATTTCACCCACCTCGGAAGGATGGAAGGCTGAGTCAACCTTGAGCCGGTAAGATTTGAACCGCTGAACTGCAGATAACAGTCAGCTGAAGTGGCCTGCAGTACTGCACCCTAACCACTGTACCACCTCAGCTCTATCTTCCCAAGCAGCCTATGCATTTCTTTCATTACAGTCTCTTAACATACGAGGAATATACAGATAGTCTTTGACTTACAACCACAAGTCACCCCCAAAATTCTGTTGCTAAGTGAAACATTTGTTAAGTGAATTTTGCCCCATTTTATGATCTTTTTTGCCAAAGTTGTTAACGTGAATCACTGCTGTTGTTAAGTTAGTAACACCGTTGTTAAATGAATCTGGTTTCCCCATTGATTTTGCTTGTCAGAAAGTTGCAGAAGCTGATCACATGACTCCAAGGCACTGCAACTGTCACAAATATGAATCAAGCATCTTAAGTTTGATCACATGGCCATGGGGATGCTGAGTGTGAAAAATGGTCATAAGTCACTTTTTCAGTGCTGTTGTAACTTCAAACAGTCACTAAATGAATGGTTATAAGTCAAGCACTACCTGTAGTTCTTTCAATAGAAAAAAGACTACTCTTTCCTGACTTTCAAACCATCCATATTCTCCTGATGATGTCCCTCAACAATGGTAGCAGTGTTCCAATATCTCAGGGGTTGCCACAAAGAAGAGGGAGTCAAGCTATTCTCCAAAGCAAGTGAAGGCAGGAAACGAAACAAGGAGAAAATCAACTTCTTAAAGAGATGTTTCTTCTAAGGAGAAGTTTCCTGACAGTAAGAACAATTGATCAGTGGAACGACTTGCCTCCAGAAGTTGTGAATGCCGCAACACTGGACGTTTTTATGAAGAGATTGGACAACCATTTCTCTGGAATGGTATAGAGCAGGGGTGTCAAACTCATGTCGTCATGGCGGCATCACATGATGTATCGGGACTTTTTCCCCCCATTGGTAAAGTAGGTAGGGGTAGAGCCAGCATGTGATGCATCCAAGCCACAGGCCATGAGTTTGACACCCCTGGTATAGAGCTTCCTATCTGATCAGGGGATTAGACTACAAGACCTCCAAGGTCCCTTCAAACTCGGTTTATTCTATTCTGTTCTACTCTATTCTATTCTATTTAGGAAAAAGGAGAACCTCTTTCTTAGGTGCTGGAAAAGCCTTTAATGAGAGCCTGCATTTTGAAAACCATCATTCTTTAAAAATAAATAACTAAACAAAAATTCTGCATAAGTAGAGGTATGCTGCTAAGTAATTCCAACCCATCAGTCAAACTTTTGTTTATAACAAAATTGCTCATTGACTTTTCCATTGTTTTACAGAGGATTAAAGCACTGGACTGAAATGTAACGCTAAAAGATTTTGTGTGCTACTTTCTCATTTCTACTCTGCGGTGGGAGTGGGGGTTGATATTTGGTCTGTTTGTTTTTGACAACAAATATCATTAGAGTCCAATGCAGTTGAATTGCATGCCTTTATCTTCACATAAACACACACTGAATAGATTGCAAAATAAATACTTTCAAAGGTATTGTCTCCTGTGCTTTTAAAGAAATTGGTATTCACTTTCAGAAATGCATTTTTAATAAAGTGGAAGCTCTTCTGAAAGCAGCTTTCGTTATTCTTTACCAAACCTCACTTAATGCAAAGCAAATTAGAGGTTACATTTTTTTCCCCCAGGCAAAGAATGAAAAGGTACAAATATGGAATTAAAGGACATCCACCTACCATGAATAACATGGTGCTAGAGCTTAAAGCACGTGAGCAAAATAGTGAAGGGCTATGGATCGGTGTTGGGGATGGAGCAAAAGGGACAAAGGGTGAAATATATAGCATGACATCATGTTAATGCATTAATATTATGCATTAATATGAATGGATAATATTAATACTGACATATTAATTTATGTACTTGAACTTTGAGAGATACAAGCACACACAATAAGATCATTCACATAATAGGATGTTCTGTTATTTGGGCACCACTACACTTTGCTGTGCAATTACAGGATTGAAGGGTTTTTGGAAACATTAATAACTTCGTGCTTTTTGAAGCTGTAATAACGGTATAGCCCAGTGTACAGGTAGTTCTTGACTTACAACATTTCATTTAGTGTCCGTTCGACTCTGGAAAAAAAGTGCCTTATGACACTTTTTCACATTGATGACCATTGCAGCATCCTCATGGGCACATGCTCAAAGTTCAGATGCTTGCCAACTGACTCATATTTATGACAGATGCAATGTCCCAGAGTTACGTGATCCCCCTTTGCAACTTTCTGACAAGCAAAGTCAACGGAGAAGCCAGATTCACTTAACAACTGTGTAACTAATTTAGGGATTCCCTTAACAATTGTGGCAAGAAAGTTTCTAAAATAGGGCAAAACTCACTTAACAATTTCTTGCTCGGGCTCAAGTATGGTCGCATGTCGAAAACTGCCTCCAATAGTTCTTGCAGAACTTTATATTAAGCTAGTCTTCAGCGTAATTGTTATTTCCAAAGACATTATTGCCCTTTTTCTTTTTCAGCTGTAAGACTTTATACATTTGACCCGGAGAAGGTGAACCTCATCAACCAAAATACTCAGATGGGAGGAGACAGTATTAAGATCTCTGCAAAGAAAAAAGAAATATCGCCTGCTAAAGGTTAGGATGGTGGTTTGGGGTTGTTGGTACAATATCTGAACTCAATGGAAAACCCTCTTTTTTTCTAAGATTCATCAGCCGCATTGTTCCACTTGCAGCATGAAGAAATCCACTATAAAGTTAAATAGGTAAAATAGAAAGTGGAAAAAATTGGTGCCGTTATGGGATTTTCATTCTTACACTAATAAATCTTCTTAAGTATTTTATGATCTGTTGCATACATTGACTGGTAATGAGCTTGTGGAAACTACATTTGCCTATAAAGAAACCTTTTCCTTAGATTTCAAGGGAGCAATCATCAGCAAACAGTCCCCTGTGTCCTTTGAATCCTGAGCAGAATCACTGAAATAGTGTAAAACAGTGTTTTTCAACCTTAGTGGCTTAAAGATGGATGGACTTCAACTCCCAGAAGTCCTCAGCTATCTTCTGGCAGTTGAAGTCCACCCATCTTAAAGCCTCCAAGGTTGAGAAACACTAGTGTAGAAGTTCTCCATCATTTTGGTCATGGTTTCAGTCACTAGTTTCTGAAGTGATATATGGGCTAAATACCTTGGGGTGAAATTCTAAATGATAAATAAGCATTAAAGGGATGAGAGAAGTTGGTAAATGAAATACTGAAATCACAAGCACAAACTCCTTGGAAAAAGAAGAAAAAAATGGGGAAAGCACAGTGTAAAAAAATAAAACTGAAATGGAATAGAAAATGGAAACAGGGATTAATAATTAAGGAGGAATACAAACTGCTGGTGTGAGGTTGTAAGGATAGACTCAGGGAGGCTAAAACTTAGAATGACAAGAAGATGGTGAAAATGAAATTGCCTGGTATCTTATTTGTCTCCTCTCAGAAGAAAGAGTTCCTAATGTAATTGCGGCAAACCAGGTAGACTATAAAACCTGCTAAAGGAGTTGGATGTGTTTAGCTCTCAAAAGAAAAAAGGAGAGATAAAAACTGATTTACATACGGGATATAACAAACATCCTATTCAAAAGAGAGATTGAGCTGCTGTCTGTTTGAGGCTGAAAGCATGACAACAAAGAAGTTAAAATTAAGAGATGGATGGATGGATGGATTGACAGACAATCTGAATATTTTTAAAAAAATCTAAAAAAAATAAAAAGTAAGAAAAATAAGTCACCTGCCTAGAACAGTGGTAGAATCTCTTTCACTGGACATTTTCACATGAAATCTTCAAAATCTTCCTGATTTGGTGTGTTTCTCCATTCACCTGTGAGATGGACTAGATCAGGGGTGTTAAACTCAAGGCCTGTGGGCTGAATCCAGCCCACAGGGTGCTTAGACCTGGCCTGTGGGGCCACCCTAGAAACAGCAAAGGACTGGCCCGTGGTGCCTCTGCCAGCAAAAATGGAGATCTGTTTTCACTGGCAGAAGGTGGCAGGAAGCCATCGCAGCCGAAAACAGTGCTCGGGAGCTTGTTTTCGCTGGCAGAGCACTTGGGCCACCACAGGGACTCCCGACATTAGGAACATCAAGCTGGCCACACCCAGCCTGGCCATGCCCAAGATCAAACAAAACCCTGATGAATGAAATCAAGTTTGACACTCATAGACTAGATGTTCTATAAGATTCCTTCCCATTTTAAAAGTCTATGGTTATCTGAAAGCAGGCAGAAAAGGAAATTTATGAAAGTGCCTTGTAGATGAGAAAAAGGAGGGCATGTAAAAAGAGAGAAGTCTAACAAAAGCACTGCAATCTGAGTCTTCAGGGGAGATGTTTGATTATGTAGGATATTTAATATACCAATATATAAGGTACTTTACATCCCTTAAATAAGTCATTTATTCCCAATAAAATGGGATATCATTTTGTACAAAGTAATAGCATAGTACATGATCTGGGGTGTATCATGAACCTGGAATTTAACCACAAGACTATAATTCCACAAGTAAAATTATATTTTTAACTGTACACAGGGGGAGTGCAAATATCGCTGCTTTTTTGGTTTTGTTTTACTTGAAATTGATAGTTTAAAAGTTTTTTTCCCCCAGTCAGATGGACCTTTAATTTAGCAGGTCTTGTTAATGTGGTCTGCAAAGTATTGTTCTTTTTCCTATTTTAAAATAAATTGGAATGGAGTGGGAGGAATGCCAAAGAAATTAAACTTAAAGTTTACATTTTGACTATGTCACATATCTTTTATATTACATGTGATTCATGGACTTGATTACAAATTAGATTTTAAAAAAGTTTCTGCATCCCTTGGTAAACAGTGGTTTCATTTTATGTGACCCTACATAAAATGTAGTTAGCTTACAAGCCAGTGTCAAACTCTGATTTCTGAAGTAGGTTTGCTTCTCTAATCACAGCTTGTGGTTCAGAGAAAATTGGCTAGCTGGAAATGGAACCAAATATTTTTGATGCCATTCTTGTAGCTATGCCAAAGTGTCAGAGTCTGCTTATGAGTTACATCTGAGCTCTTTGTATGAGTTGACCCCGAAATTAGCCTCCTATTGATTGCTCCTTTCTCCATATTGTACACAATATTTAATGTGATTTTCTGTCTCAACGGGAGCACCAAACATAAATGCTTTCAGAGCTTAGTGTTGATCATAACAATAGAGGGAAGCTAGATTCTTGGCAAGGTATAAATGCGTTTGGGTATACTGTATTTAAGTTTAAATGATGAGAAATAATGAACCCAAATAGCTGGATTTTAAAAGCATTTGCTGGGGTTTTCTTTTATTTCATAAACATTATGATCACCCTTCTGTCATTACCATTTCCAAGCAAAGCCACTTGTTAGGAAAAGATATAGGTCTATATCAGAGGTGGGTTACTCCCGGTTTGGCCCAGATCAGGAGAACCGGCAGTAGTGGTGGCAGGACGCTCTGCCCTCCCTCCCATATGCTTCTGCGCATGCACAGAAGCTTCTGCACATGCGCAGAAGCAGCGCACGCGAGAGAGTGTGAACCAGTAGTAAAAAAATTGGAAATCCACCACTGGTCTACATTCAGAATGTTGTCCAGTTTATAAGAACTATACTGCTTGGAGAAGTATATGAGCAGGGGATGTGCGAGTGGGTTAAAAAAAAAAGAGGACGGCAATCATGACTGAGCCGAGGTGGTGCAGTGGTTAAATGCAGCACTGCAGGCTACTGCTAGATCAGCAGTTCAGCGGTTCAAATCTCACCGGCTCAGGGTTGACTCAGCCTTCCATCCTTCCGAGGTGGGTAAAATGAGGACCCAGATTGTTGGGGGCAATATGCTGACTCTCTGTAAACCGCTTAGAGAGGGCTGAAAGCCCTATGAAGCGGTATATAAGTCTACTGCTATTGTGTGAATGAAGTCTTGAACCTTTTTTTTTTTTACATTAACTACAAATGAAGTGAATATTCACATGCATAGTTGCAATGGGCAATGTGGACAACACTTGTCTGGGACTGGAAATGAATCCCCTAATGCCTGGAACCTATAGCCTCTTAAATTGTACAGTTGGAAGATTTACCTTCCAAAAATATGGACAATATTCTTTGACTGAATGTTTTATCATTAAATTTAATTTCTAATAGTGGCACATCCCTTATTGCTTTAAACATTTCCCTCTGTTTCTGTTGTCTTTCTGTAAGTTTGCTGCAAAATGTCCATTGATTTGATATTTTTCTTGACAGAGTTTTAAAAGGTCTTTTGATTGTTGTTTCCTTGGTGTTTCTAAACATTATTTTAGTATTTATTTTTATTTTTAAAAATCAACAATTCTCAAACAACTAAGCATGTTTTATTTGATGAATAGGCACAGTTGCAGTTGTGTTTCTGCGATACGACAATATTGGAGCTCTGCTTTCATTACCACAGAATTTGTCCCTGACAGAAAATACAGAGGATAGAGAAATAGTAGGTTCATCAGTTATAGCTGCTGCAATTAGGTCCACTCCACCTGGGCTGTATCCAGCTGAGAAAATAATATTTACTTTAAAACATCTACAGGTAAGCTTTCTTTTTAAAACCCCTCTCATTTAAGACAGTATTTTTTCTGTAGTGGATTGCAAGGGCTGCGTTGGCACTATCCTTCTAACTCTGTTGTTTGCCAATATGTTTGCCATAATATAATTAGAAGGGAAATTACAATGTTGAGTTTAGCACTGCAAGTGCAAGGCAGGGAATAGGAGTCGGTAGCTACTAAAAAGTGTGAAGTGAAACTGACAAGAATAATGAATGCATGGAAGTCTTATTACACGTTTGTCAACAATCTGCAAGTGTAACCCAAGGCTGTTCCTTGTTGGAGTCTGAAGTGAATATGAACATTTTTGAAAAAGAAAATAGCACCCAAGAAAAAAATTAATGAAGCACATTTTGTAAGTGTAAAAGAAAGTTTCATTTATAGAAAATGCATTATAGGAATAAGTAAAGCCTAGATCATTGGTTCCTACTATATACCAAGGAAGTAAGGAAAAAAAGAAATTATTTCAGATTAAACACAAGCAGTAATAGGTGAAGTGAACCCCTTAACACTCTACCAGCACCCTACTGCCCCCTGGTGATCAGTAGATTAGGAGGTCCTAAAGGGTCAGTGCTAATAAATTTGTACTTCCAACTCTCAATTCTGAGCATTTTTCCACTTGCAACGTGGGAGGCTGATGCATTCCTTATGTTACTTAGCAAAGTCCAACCACCACAAAGCATAAAATTTCACAGGACCGCTAAGTGAACAGTGCCACTGTTTCTTATAGCCGTCAGTAATCACAGTGACAGTTTTTCAGAATAGCTATGTAATTCTGGATATTTCATTTTGGATTACTTGCCATTATACAGTGATAGTACATAACAGCTGAGAGCTACAGAATGATAAATTTGGATTGAAAAGATGAACATTCTAATCCACACATAGCCATCAAACCCCGCTACATATTCTTGGAAAGTAAGCGCTTCTTGATTTAGGCACTCTTGTGAATGTCAAGGACCGATTGTGAATTATTTGGAGGCAGTTCAGGATATAATAACAACAACAACCCATGTGTGAACTTTGGAGGTAGAATAAGGGGGAAAGGATGGTAGAAGGACTTTAAAAAAAAACAGAGGCATTTTCCATAGATGTTAGAAGTTCAAGATTGAAAGCACGTCAAATATATCCAACAGAAAATAAAGTAGATGTACTATCTTGTCAAAATTAGGGCTACAGGAAGCAAGCGAAGAATAATATGATACAGCAACCAATTTTTAAAAAGCTAACTGTGATTCCTTATGGATTGTCCAATGGCATAAAATGCAACTAGCATCCTGACCCAGGCCCTAAAGATATGAACCAGATCTTCAAGACGTTCCAAATTTCAGGGGTGAGGTTGTTCATTAGAAGAGGTTCACACAATTATATGCCGTTTATCATTCTTAACACATTTTGTTTCTGCTCCAGCCTGTAGGCAAAAAAGATGTTAAATGTGTATTTTGGAATTATTCAGAAGACACAATGGAAGGGAACTGGGCCACAGAAGGGTGTGAGAGGATCCACTCCAATAGCACACATACGTCATGCAGATGTAACCATCTTACTCATTTTGCAGTCTTGATGTCTTCAAATGGCTCTAAAGTTGTAAGTGGCTTTTTTTAATTTAAAGACTTTTTTTTTAATTAATCTTTTCTATTTGGGGCCATAAACCCCATTTATAAGGAATATTTTCTGCAAACCAATAGATTAATCTCTTCCTCCACCACTTTAGATATTTCTGTGGCTAGGTTGACCCTGAACATCATATTCTTAGAATCTCTAGATATCCATTGGTACAACGTGGTCCCTTTTCTATCTTTCTATGCTAGAGGGTTGGTTACTGTTCGTTTTCCATGGTTTATCATGGAACACCTCATTTTTTTAAATGGCCAGCTGTTCTTTTACTTTTTCATACGGGCTGCCTTATACTTTTAAAAAATCTGAACTCGAAATGACTCTTCCATTTAGTTGGAAGAAAGGTCCAATAAGAGATCTATACTAGCTATGAGTCCCTGCAATATGATTCACAAACAATAGAAATTACTACAGTTGCATGCCAAAGTTTCAGCATCCCTGGTAAAATTGTATGGATCAATGATGTTTCTTTGACAGCCTGACTCTGCAATGTGACAAAGAGCATTATATTATCCACAGTTTAACCTATCCCCCTGCAATTGCTACCTTGTTTTCCAGCTGCCCCACTGATCAGTTCTTTGTGAAATGAAAGAGAATTGATTGCTGTCCAAACTTTTTTTTCCCTTGCCAAACTTATTCTGTGCAAGAACTGTGGGTTTCATTAAACACTTTTCTCCGCATCACTTCTTAGTCTGTGTACTGTATCTCAGAAAGCCATTAGAAAGACCCTCATTTGTCCTTCATCATTTTTAATATTCACAACGTGTGCTCACTCCAGAGGTTTAGAATGAAGAACACACAGAAGTTTCACACTTTTCACACTTTGGAGATGACATTTCAAAAATTAGATTTCGCAGTGCTGACCTAGAGTTATGCTAATAAATTACATGAAAAGTAACTAAACTATGTGTTTCAGTTTTCTTCATATGCGTATCCATTTTAGTGCCAACATTCTTCATTATAACTTTATAATATCTTTTTTTTATTTATGAATGACACCGAAACATTCAGAAATGTACAAAGATTATTTTGATATTCAGAAAGGGTACAATTGACATTAGAATGAAACCCACACTAATTTTTCCTTCCTCTGTGCCAGACACTTTGAATAATTTGAATAATAACAAAAGAGAGAGAGAAGGAAGGAAAGGGAGGTATGAGGGAAGGCAAGGGAGGGGAGCGGAGGGGAGGAGGGAAGGGAGGGGAGGAGTGAGGGAGGGAGGTGAGAAAGAGAGGGAGGGAAGGAAGGAAAGAAAGAAAGGAGGGAAGGGAGGTATGAGGGGAGGGGAGGGAAGGGAAATTGTCATCTGTAACCAAGACAGAAATGGATAATCAATATTAAAAGTAAACATTCTAGGCAAGAGTTTTTTATTTATTTGCTGTATTACTGAAACCAGGGAAAATCCATAAAATGATGGAGCATGTGCATCTACCCTTTACATGCTACAACACACATATACACTTGCAACATGGACAACCTTGGGAAAAAGAACAAAAATAAGGTTTTCTTCAAATGTTCAAATAGACTAAACTTTTTCTTCAATCCCAGGAAGCAAAGGATTATATTCTTACAAGAATCACTCAACTTGGAATAATTATCTCATTGATTTGCCTCGCCATGTGCATTTTCACATTTTGGTTCTTCAGTGAAATCCAAAGTACAAGAACAACGATTCATAAAAATCTCTGTTGCAGCCTTTTCCTGGCAGAATTTATTTTTTTGATCGGAATTAACATGAACACTAATAAGGTGAGTATCATTTCTTAATGCCGAAAATGGTACGTTAAAGTGTGCATTTGCAAAGGTGTATGTCCTAATGAGCCTTTGTGAGTCTATATGATGTCATATGGCTTGTAACAGAGTGTCATTCTCCAAAGCATCTGAGAACAAGAAGCAATGGGTGGAAACTAATCAAGGAGAAAAGCAACTTAGAACTAAGGAGAAATTTCCTGACAGTTAGAACAATTAATCAGTGGAACAACTTGCCTCCAGAAGTTGTGAATGCTCCAACACTGGAAGTTTTAAAGAAAATGTTAGATAACCATTTGTCTGACGTGGTGTGGGGTTTCCTGCCTAAGTAGGGGTTTGGACTAGAAGACTTCCAAGGTCCCTTCCAACTCTGTTATTCTACTCTATTCATCACACAGATTGCATCATTTTTGTCATTTATGCAATAATGCCATGGTGTGCATATAACAGACACTGTCTGTGGGGAATTTCCCAGTCTTAAGGTGAATATTGGCATTTAATATAACTACAACTTTATCCTCATCAAACAGTTCCAGCCAATTCAGTTCAGTTCAGAGTTTTTAAACACCACTGAATAATTTTTCTGCCTGTGGACTTCACGGAGAATTGAGACCTTCGTTAATGAAAGTGGAGGCAGACTCTTAATTGTTTAGACTGGCAATGTTCCAATATCAGCAGGAGTTCTGCCAATTTGTTTTACGGGTTGCTTTATTTTTAATCAGTATAGAAAAATGTTGCTTATCCACATCGCTGTAAGGAAAGCAAAGGAAATCTAAATCTATCTCCTGGAAGAGAGAATACATGCAGTCCTCAACTTACAACCACAATTAAGCCCAAAATCTATGTTGCTAAGTGAGAAATGTGTTGAGTGTTGCCTGTTTAACGACCGTCCTTGCCACATTTGTTGAGTGAATCATGGCAGATGTTAAATTAGTAAAATGTTGTTAAGTGAATCTGGTTTTCCTATTGACTTTGCTTGCCAGAAGGTCACAAAAGTGGTATCACATGACCCCCGGGACACTACACCTGTCATACATGTGAGTCAATTGTCAAGCATCCGAATGTAAATCACATGACCATGGGAAGGCTGCAATGGTCATAAGTGTGAAAAATAGTCATAAGTCATTTTTTCAATGCCGTTGTAACTTTGAACAGTCACTAAATGAACTGTTGTATGTCGAGGACTGCCTGTAGATTAGCCTGCAGTTTGCATAGTCTGATGTGTCAGGGTGAATACTTCAAGCTAAAAATTTTACCTGGGCAAAACAAGCATATATGTTGCTTCAGTTTTGAAATGACTTTGGTCCAAGTGTTTCCACATTCAGACAATTGATGACAGGCCCTTAATGGTGTTGTATTGAGACAAAATGTGAGAAAAACCTCTGCTTCCTCTATACAGGAAGAAAGTTTTAACCTGCATTGCAATAAATGTACTGTTTCATATTAGTCACTTTTACTGTTCCTTTTTTCCTCCCTTCTAGCTATTCTGTTCCATCACTGCTGGACTGCTCCATTACTTCCTCTTAGCGGCTTTTGCATGGATGTGTATTGAAGGCATTCACTTGTATCTTATAGTTGTCGGAGTAATCTACAATAAAGGATTTTTACACAAGAATTTCTATATTTTTGGCTATGTAAGCCCAGCAGTGGTGGTTGGCATTTCTGCTGCACTGGGATATAAATACTATGGAACAACTGATGTGTAAGTTACTATTTACATCTTGGATACTTCAAATGTGGTCCAAATACAGTCTGCTAGGATGTGATAGCACAACTATGCTTTGGCTATGATTTTCTCATTGTCAATATTTTTAACAAATCTAGTCATTTGATACTAACAGTTTTGAAATATCATTAACACTTTTGACTTCAGCACTCCTCATTTAAGAATGAGTAGAACACCTTAATTTATCCAACACCATAAAGTGTTCTGCCATCAATCTCTTGTGCTCAATAAGGGATGGGTGTTCCTATGCTGACCATTCTCATTGTGTCTTGAGTGTATTTGATTTTTGACTAAATATTAGAAACATTCACAAGATCCTTGGTAATGACGGAAAATATTTAGCCTCAGAAACATATCTACTGTGCTTCAATGTATGGACACTTTTTTTCCAAAGTTCTGTTTCCTCTATTGAATTGGGTGAAACCCAGTATATCAATTCAAGGGGAAACTGTCATCTGTAACCAAGACTAAATAAGATAATCAAGTCTGACAGTATGCATTCAAGGCAACATGTTTTAATTTATTTATTTTTGGAGTGAGAGAAAATTAAATGATCAAATTTAGTGGTCTCATCTATAAAGGTGGGTTTTTTTACCTTAAATTTCATTCAAATTGTTTTGAATAGGCAGCTATGTCAATGCCAGGGATGGAGAATTCAGGGGCTTCTTCCATATTTTGTATCAATTTTCTTCATTACTATCTATTCAATGATTCCTTTTTCCTCACCTCATCCATCTTTACGGCAACACTATATCTTCTAACCAAGAACAACGCCTATCCAAGGTGGTCCAATTAGGCGTCAAGGTTCTTCGAACCATTTATTTGTTTATTAATTTTTTATCCCACCTTTAGTACTTTATAGATAACTTAAGATAGTGAATAAACCTAATACTCCTTCCTCCTCCAATTTTCCCCCACAACAACTGTATGAGATACATTGGGATGAGAGAGAGTCACTGGCCCAAGACAAGACTATAATTAGCAGTCTCCTGGCTTCTAGACCAGTACCTAAAACTCACACAAAACTTGTCCAGGTACCTCCCATAGCCTCTCTGCCTTATCATCTCTTTCATCAGTTCTAGAATTTGGAGGATACAGTGACTCTCTCCAAAGCTTTTTCTGGCTATCCAGTAGCTGATTGCCTTACCAGGGGTTCAAACAATGTGAAGTGAAGCAACATAGCTATTTCACCTCCCCTTTTAAATTAGTGTACAATGCTTTGCCAAACAGGTTTGAAAGTATGTTTCTCTCTTGAAACAAAGCACACCTTTGAAACACTGTACAGATCTACAAAAAAATGGGTCACCTCCAGCCACAGAAACAATGTTCTGGACTTTTGTTCAGAAATAAGAATACCAAAAAAGTAAGATATTTGGCTTCGGCACTCCATATCAAGCCAAGTTGGTTTAATCTGTAAATGTAGTTCAAAATGTTTCATCCTATTTACCTTTCAGATGTTGGCTCAGCACAAAGAATAACTTTATATGGAGTTTTATAGGACCAGCATGTCTAATAATCCTTGTAAGTATGCTTTTCTTCCCATATTTATTTTTAAAAAAAACTGGAATACATAAAGTAGTAATAATAACAAAAGGTGTGTAATCATTACTTACCCATTGATAGGCCATCTGTGAGTGCTTAAATATGGCAAAATGAACTATTTTAAAGGCTGTTATATAACTGACTCTAAAATATATTTACCTCTTGTACGTCTAAGTGCTTTGCCTGACTCAAAAAAACATATGTTTGATTAACTAAATATTTCAGTTGGGGATTTGTTTCTTTTAACCCGATGGCTGGAGGGAACAGAATTCTCTATAGCAATTCAGTTGTGTAAGATGTAGCATCTTTACATGTCAGTTGTATCTTGGCAGAACTCAGCAGGAGAGGTATACAGACATGATGCCAGGAGACAGATAATCTGGTATTTCAAATGCTGAGTTACTTAATCTTTTATCTGTGATCGGTCATCTTTGAAGATTAGGCTGTCATCTTTTTGATTTTTTTCATTCTCGTGTACCCTGCCATCATCAAGGCTATTTTAAACAAAATTGCAACATCAGAGACAAGAACCTGCTATTTCACACAGACAGGCAAGTTGAGAATTGATAGCCTATATTTCAGATGGAAGGAGACTTTTTTAATTCCTCTTGGAATTGTTTTCAGACTTGATCTTCTGGAAATATTTGATGCTTCCAAAGTGCCAGGAAGTTAAACATGTACGACTTAATTTAGGTTAAGTAAGAAACATTGGACTGTTAGGTCAATGATATAAATAACTCCTGGTCCTCATTTGCTGATAAAAATTTTCTTTAAAATATATTTGCAAGGTTAGCATGAAATGCAGTAAGCATAAATCTATTACATGGTTGGTATCAGTGGTGGGTTTCAAATAAATTTGGAACCTATTCTGTGGGTGTGGCCTCCTTTGTGGAAGTGGCTTGCCAGCCATATGACTGGTGGGAGTGGCTTGCCAGCCATGTGACCATTATTTTTTAAAAAAAACTTTGGTGGGGATCTTGTCTTTGCATATAATCTGTCTTTTATTTTACTTGCAAGTACATATAGGTTCCTTCTGATAAAGACCCTTTTAACTTTCTGAATTTGCAAAATATGCCAATCTCTTGCAGGAGCATGAGTCACGCAAGAGCTAAACAATTTTAGCATTAGTCCTGGTTTTCATGTGTCCCACTAAACCACAATAGGGTTGATTGGATTCCGGTTGAGTAATACAAACCCCTATTTGGGGTACCTGAAACACGATTTGCGATCCCAAGTCCTGTAGCCCCCAAAGTTTCTTTTTTAATTATTTACCTATTTGAATTTATTAGCCGGCCAACTCCATTGGACTTTCCTGTCCAGTATCCCTCCCCCCCACTCACTCCTTTTGCCCACTGCATGTACACTACAGGCCCCGATCAAGGCAAGGAGCGAACTGGTGAACCCATCCAGATATAGAACGTGGGAACATGGTGGAGCCTTAAGGGGAAACTCCCTGTTTTGCAAACCCCTTGTTCCACGACATTTTCTGCCAAACCCTGTGGGGAAAATCCTCCCAAGCCGCTTCCCCCCCTGCGTTAGCCCTGTGGAAACCAGTCAACTCTGCAGCCTCGAAAAGAGAAGGGGGGGCAGATTTATCACCAAAAAGGAGTGTGACGAAAGCCTAACAAGTGGGAAACGGTAGCACTGCAGAGGGGTGGGTTTCAAAAAAAATTCAAACCTAATCTGTGGGTGTGGCCTCCTTTGTGGCAGTGGCTTGCCGGCCATGTGA